TCTCGTATCGGTTCGACGATCGTCGCCGTTTCGTTCCTCGCTCAGCTGCGCTACAATCTACCCTTCGGTTTAATTAAGAAATAAACGAGTTCGCGAGAAATCGTAAGAGATCCCTGGAGTAACAGCGAAGTTTCGCTGAAAGGCAGCGTATAATTAACGAACTCTGTCTCGCTCGAAAGTCCGATTTGTTTATGTTCGAAAAATTGGTCGGGAATATTTGGAGTATAGAAAGGGGCGCGAAAGTGAACGTGACTTACCGGTGTCTTGGGGAATTAAGAGTTTCAGGATGGTTAGCTTCACTGTTCGCCGAGTATATTTAACTGTGATCGAGGAAGCACGGAATTTTAATTAGGATTTCGAGAGGTTAGGGTGAATGTCTGGTACTTAATGAGTTTAGAAGAACGGCTACGGTACGCTTAAACTTTGTTGTCCAAGTACACGATAAGGCGGAATGTTTCTTCCAGATGAATTCAAAAATAATAATAACGTAACTGTTTAAGAACGCGAACCCTTTCAAATTTATTTCAGCACGAAAACGAAGAGAACGAACACTGAATTATAAAATTTTGTCAATGAAGGTACAATTGTACGAAGTAGCTAAAATAAAAATCAACACTTCTGTTAATTTCCGTGAAAATTCAACGTAAAATTCCTCCAAGATTTATCGCAGAAATATTTCCCATCACCCTGTTACCTTCTCCTTCAATTTTACACCGCATAAATTTGTTTTCCCTCGGAAAATCTCGAAGCTCAACCCCGCTGACAGAGCGAATATTCCCAGCCGAGAATATTCCAAAAATATCAGACTTTCTATTCGAACGAAAATGTCACACGGTTAATTCGAAAAGCGTATCGTTACACCAATCAACAGGTATCGAATAGATATAATTTTTCATTAACCTCGATACACCGTAGCGCGGATATTCTCCGTCATAACGAAAAGAACGTTCGCCTCGTTCACCTTTCTCTCCCCGATCCTGTATATGCAAATTCCGACCCCGTCGAAAAGCGCCGCCGGGAAACTTTCGTTTTATCGAAATTCATATCGCAATTTCAACTTTTATTCGCGGCGACGTTTTGTGTTCCCATGGTCTCGACAGACGTCGCGAATTTCTACACGTGTGCGTGGATTCCTCCTCGAATGCGGCACTCGAACGTCGAGAGAGAAACGTCGGAGAGTGCACGTTCTCTTGGTGGAAATATTTTATGTAACCGGGGCCAGGCTAACTTCCACCAGTCCAAGTATCCCCTTCGACTTTGCTGTTGCGAACGCGTACATCGAGAGGCGAATCCAGTTGCACGAGAACACCTTCTTCGATTTCTCTCTCTCTCTCTTCTTCTTCTCACGCGTACATCGAGAGGCGAATCCAGTTGCACGAGAACACCTTCTTCGATTTCTCTCTCTCTCTTCTTCTTCTTGTTCCCCCGTTTCGAACCTTCGAGACGAGTTTCGCTCGTTACTCTCCGTTACGGTCGCCTTGAAAGCGTATGCTTAAACGAGTCGGAATGATTTTGAAAAATGATTTCTCGCGTGGTTCCTAGCCGGCGTGGAAGAAGTCGAAAGGCGCGAGATAGAGATCGTGAATTCGTTCTGCGTTTTACTCGGTCGTCGCGTGACCGGAAGGCGTAAGTCATGTAATGTGGCCATGTATGCTTAGCCGGGGGATTAATGGAGATCCTTTTTTTAGAATATAGGCTCGGTTGAACGCGTTTGATGCAGTTTTTACCGGTGTCGTTTTTTCCTCCCTTCGAATCGAGCGGACTGTGTGAATAATTGTTTGAAACGTTTTTGAGTAGTGTGTTTAAAGTGTTGTTTTGTTGTTCTTTGATTTCTTTTCTATAAGAAATTTATCATACGAATATTCTGGGTTATGATTTATAAATAAATATTTTCACAGAGTTTAGAAATTGTTAGTTTATTTCTAATTACTTTCGAAATTTATTTTATGAATATTCCGAGTTACGATATCTGTAAATAAAGATAATGTTCACAGAGTTTAGAAATTTAACAAATTGTTATTTTCTTTCTAACTGGTTTCGAAATTTATTCGACAAATATTCCGAGTTACGATATTTGTAAATAAAAATAATTTAGAAATAGTTTAGAAATTTAAGGAGATTGCGGATTTATCTCTAACTGATCTCGAAATTTGGACAGCAGCTTTGGATAATTATGTTAGGAATAGGTAGCGCTTTCGTGTGTCTCACAGAAATGTCAGATACCCAGAGCAAGTCGAATTACATCGAGAATCAGAAAGCTCCGAATGCATGGATTACGATCCCATGGATCATGGATTACGATCCCGTGGCGGAGAATTATATCGCGTAGACCCACATTCTGGGCACTCGAAATTAACTTAGTTACCATTGACTATACACCGATCGCTTGAAATTCATGGAGCAGAAATTGTTTAAATAACTCACTAGTTCTGTTTATGCAATTTCGAAACTCTCTGATCTGCGTAAATCGTGAATTTCGTAAAATTAACGACGAAATACCTTCCGTTTAATAGTTTCAAAAAATAGAAAAATATTTTTACACAAACTTCCGAATTCCTAAGTTAATTTACTAACCCTTAAAAATGACAGTTTGATTTAAACCCTAAATCCGTGAAAATGTTTCAATTTGAAAAGAATTACTCTTCAGTCCCACAAGGCACAGAATACTTTTTCACTTTTTCACCTCGAGATGTCATTTTCAACGTGTAATTCGTAAATTACTCTCAGGTTCGAAGATCGGAGCTGAAGAACCGGATCATTTCGTATCAATTCGCGCGATTACCAGGCGATAGCTCTTTAGAAACTCGATTTTATCGACGTTCGACGGATGATTTCGAAGATCTCCTATCTCCTTCCTCGGAACTCATTAAAATCTCTCGTGCACATTGTCCACTTATCATCGGAATCGATGATTGGATTTCCCCCGTTTTCCTCCCTCCCTGTACACCGTGTCAATTAATTTGTGCTTCGTAGTTATCGAATACATGTATTATTGAAAACGTCGATAGTTCTCATTTAAAGCGTAGAATATTTAACAATTTTTTAAAAATCACCGTGAAAAATGTAACAAAATTTATAAATTTTATTATAAATTCTCGAACTAACAATTTGTGCAAAGTTTTAGAGAACTGTAGTTATCGGTGTAACGAATAGGACTACGTCTGACCATAGATGGACTTATTCTACTTAAATCGTTACGACTTACTTTTCTTTGCATCGTAGTTCAACAAGTCATCGTTTCTTCATACGTACTCTTTTACGCTTTTACGTACGCGATGTTACAAGTAGAAATTGTACAAATTGAAAGGAATTTTCAAGGAGAAGTACGATTTTATTCTACGTCACGTTACCGATATTCGCAAGAACGTCGGAGATTTTCTCCTAATATAATAAAATACCCCCGGTTATTCGTCAGTTTTATCGTTAATAAAATTTTGATACACCAATATATTCCTCCAAGCTTGAGAAAATACTGCAAATAAATTTCAGCGACAATGCGCTGCCCGGAGAAGATAAAACGGATAGTGACCGCCCACGTTTCGGTGTTACTCTCTCTCTTTTTTATTAATCCGATAAACTTCCAACCTTTTTCTATTCATCCCACGTTTCAATCAAAATATTTGCACGGGAAATATTTGTCGTCGAATTTTTGGAACTCGGCGCTCTCCCACGGTCGCAGCCAGGACGGCCGGTACGTTTATTAAAAATCGGGTAATTCCGTGAAGCATCGCCTGTATCGATCGACTTTCGTAATGAAGAAGCAAAAAATAAAAGAGAAACACAGAAAGAGAAGAAATTCGTATCGTCGGTATTTGGTGAAAAATTAGAGAAAAAGAAATTGGAGGGACAAGAAGCAAAAAGAAGGAAAAAATAATACTCGAGCAGTGAATGGATCCAATAATAGAGGAAGCAGTGCGTGCATCTGAATATGCAAATGAAACATTCATGAGGGTCTCGTGACGCGAAAACCTCTGATGAAAAATGCATTTATTATCCATTATGTAAACAATACTTCAACGTATAAATATCCTGCTAACCGATGTACACCAGCGTGTTGTTAGAAAAAAAATTAACGATATTTGCCACTTATCGGCATTTCGCGTTCGCAATTATCCTACGATTTCAAGTGCGTTAAAATAGCCAAAATCCCGTTGCATTCGCACAGAGGCATCCGCAAAATTGACGAATGAATTTTGCGTTCGAATTCCATCGTAGCGTGTTTTGGATACCATTCGTCGTCGGTTTCAGTTAATTAAAGCGACCTTAAGCAAACAGGATTAGCATGGTTAATTGGAAAGCTTAGTGCAACTTGGGGACGAACAGATTAAACTATCAATGTGTAGTTTGGCGGTGCTGGATTTCGATTCACGGTGAATCTTCTACAAGAATAATTACTACGCATCGAAATACATCCAGTTCCTTCACCATTTCGCCTCGTTGCAACTAATATTCGATAGCTTATCGTATGCACAAAGAACTCACGAGGAACGATCAGCGATGTTGACGAAACTTTGGTGTATGGTAACACTCAAAAAAATATTTGACGCGTTTTTTTTTTAGCAGCAATCGTCCACAGTGAAGATAATAAAAATTTGACACAAATTTGTAATTGTAAGATCCAAAATTTGTCAATTTACATTTCTCCTGTATCTCTAATAGTTTTCATGACATTAGGTTAAATATATTTATCACCTTCAATTTTGAAGACGACTTTCATCTCTCCGCTGTGAAACATTCTTTCGAGAGCTACTAAACCCAAAGCTTCACGAAAATCGGTGATAATCACTTCGGGTGTATTCCTTTGCCAGAACACCTCTTTCCACGCAACTTCTACCGCTTCTCCAGAACTCAACATTTCCCACTTCCATTCTCAACGGAACCTCGAAGAAGGAAGACGAGACAGTTTGTCCACTTGGACACCGCGAGAGCTCCTCTCCAAAGAAGCTCGAGCAGGCGTGAAACATTCCACGGATCCATTGAAAAAGACCTTCTTTACTCACCCGGAAGTGGCTTGTATGTCGACTTCCGGCCAAGAGGGTCTCCTTCGGCAGAACATCAAAGGCGGTCGATCGCCGGAACCTGTGCTCCTGCGAAAAGAACCGACTCTGCGGGGCGACGTGCTGCCAGATCCACTTCCGGCAGCTGGGTGCACCGTGAGCCCTGGAACGGAAGTGGAATCGAGGGTTCGTCTGCGCGTAGACAGCGAACGTCCATGGGAGCTCGACACTGTGCCCGGTGGTGGCACCACCTGAAACGGTAAACAGAGATCGCGGTAATTAGCTGTCGTCTAAGTGTACCTCTTTTCCTCTCGGGGCAGAGATTAAGGCGGATTTCTAAGACTCCGTTGCGGTAAACAGGGAATTGGAACATTCGCGTGCTTGGCCAGTTACCAGGGCTTTAAGCTTTTTCTGCTCTTTTTCTGGCTTAGGTTGGACTGACTGAGAGAGGAGGTTCGCGAGGCTGAAAGAGGCGTATGTTCCGTCGTCTGGTTAGGGTGCCTCGGGTCGTTTACGCGGTATGAATAATCTTGTTTAAATTGGGTGGTTAGATAGCGGGGAGGAGATAATGGATTTTGCGTGAGGGTTGATGAATGTAATATGGGTGCATAGAAATTGTTGGAGGAATGTTGGGACGGGTGTTTTGTCTTGATAGTGTTAGACTGTTGGGTAGATTAGGGAAGGAAGCGGTTGGAGAAGAGAAGGTTCTGGGAAATTCGAAATATTTTGAATGGAATGATTTTGAAAAATCGGGGAAACGATCGTACAGTAGTCTACTTTGGGAAAGTACGATGATAAGGATGTTGCCTTAATTTCCTGATCAATTTCTCTCTTCTCTGGCATCAGGTGCTTCTCTATCGGTGCAAGGAGATATGAGTGATCTTACTACTAGAAAATTTCTGTATTATATTCTAATGAGTTTTTCGTTTCTGTGACAGATGCTTCCAATTTGCTCTCTATTTGTTATTTTAACGAAAGATACATACGTGTTCCAAATACGTGTTGCAAATGTCACAGTTTCAAGTTTCTTGCGTATGATTACGCATTTGATCAGGACCTTGTGGCCAATTCCACACGTGTTTGAATAATGCATAGAAAGAAGTAAAAGTTTCGCCTCGATCCTCTGTTCGTTATATTATTCCCACCTGACTTAGTTTCTCGAAAGCACGGTGCTTATTAAAAGTTTTTACGTCCTCGTTTGAAAAATGAGGACGCATTGGTCGACAAGTGTGTAAAGTCAATTACCCCGACACGCTTACGATCCTCATACGATCACCCTAATAAATCGGTACAACCTTTCTGGATTTCCTCTGGAGGGCACGATGTGGAAAATACCTCCGCACTCGAACGATTTTAAATATATTGAATAAAAAATTTTTTAAATTCTGAGAGAACTTATTGCAAAATACAAATTCTACCTTTACAAGACGAGTATTATCATGCAAATTTTAACAATCAGGTATATACGTATTAGGAGAATTTTAGAAATATTAAAATGGGTACTTTATGTTTTTAATCTCTTTGCTACTAAGGTTGACTAGAGTCAGCCAGTATTGAGCATTCGTTGCACACAAGGGACAAGTACAGAAATGTCATAACACAGAATTATTCCGTATACTATTGCCTTGTAATGTGCTATTAGCTTTTCCTCATAAACTTCATTTACAAAAAGTCCCTTTTCCATTTATCGAGCTACTGACAAATTAATTGATCCAGCATTGAGAAAATTCTGAAAATCAAACCAGCTCTATATTCTTCAAATTATTCTACATTCCATCTCTATCCCGGAAAACAATATTTATACATAAATAACATAGTATAATATACAACGTAGTATCGTAAATTATACATAATTTTTAATAATTCTCCATTTCACAGGTCATCCCACAAATTAGTGCCGAAAGCAAAAAATATTTTAATGAAAATCCCAGGAAATTATAACAATGAGAAGGGTCTTGCATTTTTCTCTCTCAAATTTAAAGGTTCGTTGGAAATATTGATCTAAATTATAAAATTCAACACGGACTTATGGGATGACCTAAAGCTTATTCGAAAACGTATCATATTCACATACGTATACTGACAAAAAGAAAAAGAAGTGTCGAAACAAGCGAAGAGCTCACCTTTGGATAGCCATGAGGGGTCGACTGTTGCGCGGTCGAGTTGGTGTTCGTCGTGCCAGTGACGCTTCCGGTGGAGCCGCTCCTTCCGGTCGCGCTAGACGCGGAGTCTTCCCGGCTGAACGAGAACCTCTTCGGGCTGAGGCTCAAATTCGCGACGCTGTCGCTCACGTATTGCTGCAACGAGTTGAAGAAGCTCATTGTCGTTGCGCGGGTGAAATCGTCGTCTGTGGTCGATTTAAACGAAACACTGTCGCGTGAGAATCAAGACAATTGTCATCGTTTTCCCGCTGGCTCGTCCGTGTTCCCGAACAACAGCTTCGAGGCGTTCAGTTCGCGGCAGCTTTACACGCATCGATCTCGAAGCGACACACTCTGGATTGGCTAGGTGATACGGGGAGGAAAGCACCTCGACCTCGACAACTTTCACGGTTCTTTGCGTCACGGTATCGATTCTGCCCCACAGCCATTTGCAATTTTGTTGTCCTCTTCGTACCGCGATCGCTGGCGGGTCCTTCGGGCGCGCAACTTAAGTCATCCTTCGTCCACTGATTCTTTACGACGTTTCCTTACTCTGGGGACGTGTACCGTTTCCGTCCTCGGCTCGCGTCATCTGTGAAACAGAAATAAGGGTTCCATGAGTGATAACCGGTAAATCTCGTAATTTCCAGTGTTTCCTTACGGAGAAGATATGTGTTTTTTTTTTATACGAGTATCACGATTCGTTTCTATTTTCCTTTTATCGGTGAACGGAGACGTTCGAATGCGGAAAACTGGAGTGAATTTAAACGAGTTTAATGATTCGAATGAGTTAGAAGAATGAGAATTCTTATATTATTGACTTTCACAGTTGTTTATGTAGCATCGGGGCCTCCACACTCAAATAGGAAACCGACAAGGGTGAATAGAGAAGGAGTGGTTGGCGTAGCGCGCAAAGCCTCGGCTTGCTAAGCCGAAGGTCCCGGGTTCGATTCCCGTTTCGGGTCCCTCAGTACTTTTTCCCTGGGTTCCTACATTTATAATCAAAATTATAAGATTTAATATTAATATCCCTTTCGCCCCCATATTTATAATAAAAATTATGAGATTTAATATTAATATCTCTTTCACCCCCTACTTCTGAAATTCGAATTTTCCAGCCATTTCAACGATTTAAACGAGTAAATGGAAAAAGTATAATCGTAGAATAATTTCCAATTCTTCATCGACGTTCACCGTTATTCAAGAATTCCAAGATTTAACATCAATAACCATTTATACTCCCGAACCTTGAATTTCCCAAGCACTGATTCCAAAGGGTTGTCTAAATCGCCGCTAAAGCACCGAATTGACTATCGACAAATGCACGGATCTAGCAAGTAATCTCAAAGAGATGTCAATAGGATGAAATTTCCTAATTGGAGATTCATTGTAACCCAGTTGGAATCGGATCTGGTAACTCGGGCATCATTAGGTTCGAATTGCACAACTCAAAGCTCCTCCGTATCGTGTTTGACAAAGTGGTGAATTTGTAAAGATGCGGTAACACTGCGGTACATAACCGGATTTCGAGGATCAGCTTTGTGCGAATCAACGATATCAGATAGTACCATTGAAAAGTCAGCGAAGTTTCGAGTTACGGACAGCGAGATGCATGTAAGATTCATGAAGCATTTTCAGGAGAGAAGGCGGATCACAAATGTTTCTCACAACGTATTCCTGCATTATTTACACGCTTCTCTTGAAGAATCGTAAAAACTTGTTTACTATCGCTCCAACCTCTATGAAGTATTCTGTAAATTCCTCAGGTCCGTATATCCCGTGTTGTAGATTCTTTTATCAAAAATTCTCTCTGCACTTTCAGGAAAGCATTCGTGTTTCTTCGATTTCAAATTCTACCATACTTTCATTAATAGCGAGATAAGACTTCCTCGCAGATCTTCATTTCTTATCCAATTTATATGTATTTTTTTATCATCTGTTTTTCTTCTCCCATCTAACCTGTCTCCGTATCTGCTTTTCCAATTTTCTATTTATTTTTCCTCTAGAGCTGTAGGCTATACCCGTACGAGCTTTCAATTTCTCCGTGTACCTTTTAGAATTTTATTCCTTTCCTCCATCGTCAGAGAAATTTATTTTTAACCATAGTTATCATTCTGTGCTTGTTGCAAATTTTTGTTAAAACAGAGAAAATTTTATTGTAATTCAGAAAAATTTTCAATAACAAGGAAAATTTACTCTGTAAAATAATTGAATAATTAGGCACACACATATGTTAATCAGCAATTACGAAGACAAAATAGCAAGCAACATTAATCGTTCAAAATTATTATTATCTTCACTGCAAAGAATTCTCACTTTTCAACGAAGATTTCTTCAATTAAATATTCAATGCAATATAAATATAATTAAATAAACGATTGCAATATTTGTAAAAAATATTGATTTAATTCGTTCTACAATAAGCAAGGTTTCTAACACCTAAGGAGGTACAAAGACCTTCGATTAAAAGCATCGAAATATTTTTAGCCGCCTCACCAAACGGATTGCCTGTTCCCTGGACTATTTAAACAAGTATCGATTATGCGAACATTCTCTTACATAAGAGTCCGTCTTTCTCAAATTTATGCATCGCTATTCGAGCCGAGTGCGTTTCCGTTTTCTAGCCGGCGAGCCTGCCTCAAAGTGAACAACTTTGTCGCTGACAGTTATGGGGTTTGTGAAACGAATCGCCTGAGGATCGCTCGAGGAACGCTTGGAAAAGCTTCCGTCTATAGCTTACGTTGTAACTCTCCGACGAATTGATAGTAAAACCTTCGAATCCTCGCTTTCTAAATAGATCGTGAATAGTTGGTGGATTGGAGAACGTGTTTTTACGGGTTTTGGGAAAATGAAGCAGCGACCCGTTACATTTCCATTGCGGTTTCCGTTCGGATGCAATGACGGCGAGTTTGGCTAACGTGGATCGATAGTTATGGCTTCTGTACGATGATTCGGTCATAAATGTTCGTCATTAACCGCGGCGAAAATTTTGCGATGGATTGCTTAGAGCTTCGTCCGTTTCGACTTTCGATTACTATTTGAGAAATAAATTTATTTGAATATCTTTAGCTTCGTTTATTGGGACTTTTGGTTATTACTTGAGAAAATAAATTTATGTGAATATTTTTAGCTTCGTTTATTGCGACTTTCGATTATTAACTGAGCAAAGAATTTATTTAAATATTTATTTCACTTTTGAATATTCAATGTTCGCCAATTTTCCCCGATTATTTCCAATATTCCGCAATTTCTCTTTTACGTAAAAAAGAAAAAAAGTAGAACAATCGTTTATTTCCAGAATAAGAAATTTCTATCGACACATGATAGAAATTATAGGATACTGTCACACTAGGATTTTTCTGTCATCATTTTTGATGAAAGAACTCTAACACCTTTCGTAAAACGTTCGCTATCGTGTCATTTTTCAAAGTTTTCGTGTTCATTCAATTTGTCAGCTTCGACAAGAACGAGCAGCCACCGATGAAACGTTACACAGCTGTACGAGAAACATGGACTTTATTAAATCGATAAATGGATTTCGATCCGCAGTCTCTATCGTCGCGATATATGAAAAATGATAGAATCCTTTGTTGACCTTCGTTTTTAATTTATCTTGATGAAAAAAATCGTATTTAACTTTCAAGTCATTTCAACGGATAACTTTTGAGAAGCTCGTTATTTTTCCTTGAAAATTTTTTATGCAATATAATCTAGAGGAGAGAAAAGAAACACAAATTTTACGTTTCGTCGATCGAATAGTATGATTGTTAAAATGCATGCTATTTATACACGTCCATGCCCGGATCAATACATTCTTGCAATTATTGCGAAACTGCAATTCTCAATCGCGAGACTGATTAAATGCATTTCACTTCGAACGAATTGAAATTTATCGGAGTTCAAACAACGTGCATTTTGGATGACTGCTGATTTTTCATTTGTGCAGGCGTATTAAGTTTCTCGTGGAAAATAACGGAATATCCACTGTGTGTAGTTAGACAAAATTTGAGATAAGAAACGTTTCACGATTTTCCTGCAATTTTAATATCTCTAATATTACGAATTTCTCGGTAACACTTTATGTTACGTTTAGAAGAAAGTATTAAAAATGACCAAGTATTTAAAGGCAAATAAAATTATCAGTACTAATTTGATAAGAAAAGAATCTCTGAAAATATTGCTGTAAATTCTAAAACATAATTTACAAATTAGTCACCGAATTTGATTTCCTTAATAATTACAATTTTTAGAAGAAGATAAACTTCGTAAAAAAAATTCACAGCTTCCTATAAAGTCTTCTATTTAATATTCCAAAAATGATAAATGTTTGCTTTTTCAGCAATTCATAGATACACCATCAAATTTGATTTCCTCGTTAATTATAATTTTTAGAATAAGAAAATCCTTTGAAAAAGAATGCACAAATTTCTACAGTCTTCTATTTAATTTCCTAAAAATTAGAAATGTTTGCTTTTTCTGCAATGAAATTTGATTTCCTTAAGACGAAAAATCCACAACTTCCTAAAAGTGTTCCATTTAATTTTCTGCAAATGATAGAGTTCGCTGTTTATAACAGTCGAAAGCTTCCGAAAGTTTTCTCTACGAGTTACATTGCACACTCTATTCAGCTGTAATTTTATTCCAGAAACGTAGAGCAATAGACGGTTCGAATGGGTTCGCGATAGCTTGTTACTTCCTTTAAAATCGTCTACAAGCTCATCGACAAGCAAGCCACGCGCAAAACCCGTGCAACAATTCCGTAAGTGCTCGAGGAGCCAAAATCCACGAGCGTACCACGAGTTCTTGCCGTGGTGCGTTGCAATCCCGTCGACACTCCACGCCTGCGAGTAATTAACCCCTTAATCGATACTACTTCACGATCAACGACGATGTCGCACCGTTCCCCGGTGATATTGGTTCCTTGGGATTTTCCGAGCGACACCCTTCACGACAATTTGCCTCGAAATTAAGTCGTCAATGGAAACTTGTTGAACTTGGTTACGCCGAAGTGTTGACAATTAATTGCAATACTTCTCGGTCGATTAATTTTTTTAATCAGCTCAGACGAGGAGTGCGAATTCTCTACTGACAGCGAGTGAAATTTGAAATTTAAGGGAAAACAGTTTGGTGTCTAGTATTCTTATGCAAAATTTTGTGAAATATTTTATGGGAAAAATGAG